CATAAAAAGGCTATATCTTGGTAAGGTATGGCTGACGTAATTTTTTTCCGAACCCGTTTACTCTCGCTTGATACTACTTATAAATAATAATTAATATATTACTTTTAGAATTATTGCTTTTTCTTATTTTTGGAAAAAATCAATGAATTTCATTATATTGTGTGATTTTTTGAATTATTAAATTGTTTTATAATAATTTATCAAATTAAATAACAATGTTTTAAATATATTTCATATTCAAACAAAATTATTAATTCACAAATAATATAATCTCTAAAATATAATTGATAATTGTTTTTAAACAGTGATTGTCTTAAGTTGTGTTATTTATAATTGTAAATTTATCATTATTTTTTAATAATAGCAATTAATATTATTGATAACAAGCTGTAACTATAAAGGAAATTTTTGTATGTATTGCAAATTAAACATTTAGTTAAATTTTATATTAGACAATTTATACACAATGTGCTAATTTTTGCATTTTTGTATACATTATTTTTGTTATGTATTTATTAATTATTATTTTTAATGGTTACCTTTAAATTATTGCATATTATTAATTATACTATAACTATAAAACTTTAATTTTATAAAACTGTAATTTGTTAAAAGGCGCCAGTTTTGATATAACAAAATAATTAACCATTATATTAATGGGAAGCAGAACGACGCCGAAACATTATTTTTTAAATATAAGCTACATTATAGAATAATGCTTTTAAATTTATATTATATTTGATTTAAACTTATATAATTATCATGTAATCTTTATAATTAATAATCATTATAATCAAGCAATAGTACTTATTATAAACAGGTGACCAGTGTATACGTTTCGACATTATCCATGATTATCATAGCGTTGGACAGATATCAAGTGGTGGTCAACCCTCTAACGGCCCGATTAAGCACTCGATTGCCGAAACACATTATGGTTATAATCATATGGGTTTTGGCGGGTGTGCTATCTATACCGCACGCTGTGTTCAACCGATCGGTACCCCTGTATACCTATCGGACAATATACCGGTGCCGTACGGTATACCCCGAACCCCAGCTATTCTACCGACAGTTATTAACGATTGTTACGTTTGTGACCCAATACATGGCACCGCTTGTTATAACGATAGTCACCTACGTGGTCATCTCACTGAAAATATTTCGCAAAGTATGTATAAATGATATGTAAATATTGACATAAAAGAAGTGCAATTTTGGTGCATTAATCACAGAAACAAAAACTTAATTATATATACAATTAATGTTTGATTTATTGAATGATTTAATGTTGCTAATAAAATGATTGTTGCTTTGTTTCGTAACTAATGCACCGAAATAGCACTTTACAGATGAATTATTATATTACATAACTAAAAACTATACACTATACTAAAAAACTTATACTAAGTGTATAATTAAATTCATAAAACTTCTTGCACCGCGTGGTCCATTAGCATATTTACTAAGTTTAAATGAATAATTTATTTTTGATTAATAAATTGATTTACAGTTTTTGTGTAATGTTTTAAATTACATAAAAGATATGGTCATATGCTATAACTTTTAAAAAGCTGCAAATTCAGACAAATACACTATTGTTAAAATTATATAAGATTTAATTCACTCCAAAGGGCAGTACTATGCTATAGAGGTGTATAGAAATATTTCATTATTATTGTGTATTATGTACTTGTGTAGTTTAAAATATATTTTTTTGAAATTGAAAAACAATCCAGATTTATTGTTTATTAAAGGCGTTGAAATTTTATTGATTTACTACTCTTATTTAACAATATATAACAAACAAATATAATATTTATTATTTTATTTATGATCAAGGTAACAATTGGTGAAGTGACGATTCAGCAGCACAACACACGTATGGACAACAAACGTACGACAATCAAAATGTTAATATTAGTGGTTGTTGTGTTTGGCGTGTGTTGGCTACCCATTAATGTCTACCATATAGTCAATGACTTTTCCAGCCAAACATCGGCACCGGTAGGCATCAACACATACCTGACCTGTCATTGGCTGGCATTCTCATCAATGTGTTGGAACCCGTTCATTTATTTTGGCCTTAATCCACATTACAGGCGTGAAATGCGCCGATTGTTTACGTATAAGTCATGGAGTAGTGGACGGAGTAGAAATAATCACCATGATAGTAATAATAATCGTGGTATTAATGATGGCCATAACAATTCCCAACAACAATATACCCGTTCGTCAACTATAATGTTGTCCCGACTTAACAGCAAAACATCGTCGGAACGCAAGTTTGCAATTAGTCTTACGTTTACGCATAATATCTTTCGCAATGTTAAGAGTTTGGGCACCTGTTATGGTAATCCTGATAATGATGTAAATAATCGAGGTAATAATAGTAATAATGCTGTTGAAGTCAATGAGTTATATCATTTAAATAGTTATCCTGATCATTAATAGAGTAAAAATAACTGAATTAAGTTTTTAGATCAACATTATTTAACTTGAAATTATTATATTAAATTATATCATCAGTTATTAAACAATATTTTTTGTAACTATACTATAAAATCAAAGTTTTATTGAGCTTATAATAATAATACCTGTATAAATGAATTTTTGTTAAAAGCTACAAAATATAATGTTGACGTTTATTATTTAAATATTTTATAACTCAATTGTAATCAAATTATCAATAAAATAATTTGCAGTATAATACAATAACATAATATTTTATTAATTATTTTAAATAATATTAATATTATATATTAGTTATTAATAATAAAATAATGATAATTCAAGACGATATGTAAATCCTTTAACTAGCGCTAGGTTATAGATGATTGGCTGTTTGGTAGTTGGTTAACCATTTTAGCCCCTTATGTTCAAGTATTTAATTTATTTAAAATTACTATTTTATGCAAAGCCGTAATTATCAGTTTAAAAATTATCTCACGCTGAAAAAAGTTACATTAACATTTAATAATTGACTAAATCTAGCTAATTTAACTTTCTGTTCTAAATTAAAGTTAAGACTGTAATTTAAAATTTAAAAACAATATTATATAAACTCTTATTTCTAATGTTAATAAGTGGCAAGAACACACCTTAAGTTATATTATTTTAAAATTTAATATTAATACTAATTTTACAATTAATAATTAAAAATAATTGTAAATATAAAATTGAATAAACTTTAAAACCGTTTTTAATATTTGACCTTAGCATAATTACATTTATTCTTCAATAGAAATAATATTGTATTTTTATTAAACTGTAATTTTAAACGACTTTAGATTTATGAATAATTAATAATAAGCAAAATATCTAATAATGAAATTGCAAATCTACCGGATTTATTGTTATGTGTATTAATAATATAAACAACAAAAGTGCCAAATTAATTTATTTATAAACAATTATGTATTATGATATTAATTTTAATGTAATATAAAATGAATTTACAACTTATATTCGATTCTATAAACCACATTATTCGTTCGGAAGTTGGTTATGCATATTATCGCCGTTTGTTTAGGTATTCTATAGTATTTAATAAATATGGTCATGAATAATATTTATTTAGTATTTAAAAATAAATACAATGTAATTATAAGTTTTAAAATAAATAGTTTACAATATCCTTCTGTTTTAAACTAAATTTTAAAATTTCAACTGTAATTATAAATTAAAAATAATGTATTACTATTAAAATTATAGTTTATTTTTATTTTTGGTTTAGGCAACAATTATCTAATTTTATGTTTGGTCTGTAAAAATTAGTAAGTTGTTTTTACTTATTTATCAAAATAAATAGCAAGATAATTAATATATTTAAAATTAAGACTCTATTATTGACCCAAAAATAATAAAACTTATAAAATATATTTATTGATATTTTAAAATATACTGTGGGTGTATAAAGTTATGTTTTCGACAATGTTAAATTTTTGATTATTATTTTTATAATAATAAATAAAATAATTATGATAAATAAAATGCTGTATATTGTATATTGCCTTAAATAATCATTCTGTAATATTTTATATGAGAGGTTTTGCTTTTATTTATTAATTATTAGTTTTAATTGTTAATTTTAAAATATCAAATAAAATTATTATATATATTTAAGTAAACTAAATAATTAATAATCTTAATAATCTACCAATGTACTTATTATACACAGGTGACCACATTATTATACACAAATATCTTTTACATCATATTTAATTATTAATTTTAAATGTTCAAATACAATTATAATTTGTTAACTTAACTTTATAATACTACATTTTTTAAAACTGTAATTTGTTTAAAAATGAAATTTTGCATTTACTAAAATAATTGACAATTTACATTATTGGAATATACGCAATTACTTGTCATAAATATAAGTTTCATTAAAGTTACCTGTAATTAAGATATATATTTAGTTAAAAATTTACAATTATATAATTTTTAAGAAAAATTAATTTATAAAAATTCTTAATAATTGACCAATACTACTTATTATTCACAGGTGACCAGTGTATACGTATCAACATTGTCAATGATTATCATAGCGTTGGACAGATATCAAGTGGTGGTCAACCCTCTAACAGCCCGATTAAGCGCTCGATTGCCAAAACACATTATGGTTATAATCATGACTGATATAAATTAGTAAAATAGTAATTTTACTATAACGTGGTTACTATACTGTAGGCCGATTCGGCCTCAAGATATCACTCATGGTTATAATTATTTGGGTCTTAGCGGGTGTGCTATCTATACCGCACGCTGTGTTCAACCGATCGGTAGCCCTGTATACCTATCGGACAATATACCGGTGCCGTACGGTATACCCGGAACCCCAACTATTCTACCGACAGTTATTAACGATTGTTACGTTTGTGACCCAATACATGGCACCGCTTGTTATAACGATAGTCACATACATGTATGTAATGATCTCGCTGAAAATATTTCCTAAAGTATGTGTGAATGAATATAGACATCAAAACAATGCAATTTTGGTGCATTAATTCCAGGGAAAAAATACATTTTATATCCAATTATTGTTTGATTTATTGAATTATTTAATGCTTTATTGAACACAACTTTAACCCTAGAAGCTTAAACTGGGAGACTAGTCTCCCATTACCACTTTGAATTTCAATTAAAAATCAATGAAAAGTGCTAGCCAGGAAAAAATCCATTAATGCCTCATAAATTGCATTGTTTTGATGTCTATATTCATTCACACATACTTTAGGAAATATTTTCAGCGAGATCATTACATACATGTATGTGACTATCGTTA